TCTATAGCTATTTAAATCAATAATAGTGTTTTCGTCATTGATTTTGTCATGTGATAATAAAGTGGGATTGTGAAATTCTAGACTTTTGGAACTCACCACAAATGTCAAAACACTTTTGGATGTGCTAGAATTCATATTCTAGCCTAAAAAATTAGACTTTTTGGAACTTAGCACTAAAGATGGTCCAAAGGATGAAGAGACAGGCCTTGGGCATTCTTTAATTAACATGGACCAAGTCCGTTGTCTCATTAGAGAGACTTGGACCGACAGAAGACTTTTGGAGGCTGACCGAAGGCAATTAGTGAGAGTGGGTATATCTTTTTTTTAATAGAAATCCGTGCTAGGCTTTTATTAAGAATGTGAAGCCATTACAGAATCCAGCTCCAGCTAATCAAGTAAACAAATGGGAGGTCGGTCGAACTAAACCTCAGCAACATTCCATCTCGTATCAACGTGAGCCATTATATGGGCGGCTTCATTGGCTGATCTATATGCATGCTTGCATTCCCCTGCACCCATCTCCTCAAGTAAGCATTTTATGCTTCTACATATCACTCCCAATTCAGTATGATTGCAGTCACCTCTTCCTATGAAATTCAGAACCGACGCGCAATTCATCTCAAGTTGAGGCACTCCTAGTTGGTGTTGGCGGACCAGCTGTAACCCAAATTTTGCTGCCAAAGCTTCGCCCACTTCTGGATTCTGCTCACCTCGAATTCTCTTAGCTTCCGCCATTAAGAACCTGTCATTTTCATCTCGCACCACCACCCCTAGGCCCCTACCATCTGCACACAAACCCGCATCCGTATTGAGTTTCACCTTCCCTGGAGGCGGCCTCGTTCAGTGGCGATCGATTCCACTTTGCTGCACAGGATTAAACACGCACTGTTGCTGTCTATATTCCTCAAGCAAAGCCGCTACTCTCGGTACTACTTCTTCCTCAGCGAGCTTCATCCCATTGAACATTTGGGCATTCCTCTCCTTCCAAAACATCCACAAAAGCATACTCCAGTCCTCGAACTCCGACCTTGACACCGTGGCAGCAACCTTCGTCACCCATTCTAAGCTCGCCAAGTCCCCCCTCATTTCAAAACAAGATGATACCTGAGACTTCCGCCATAGCCTGCTAACCCATTCGCATTGACACAGAGCATGCACTTGTGTCTCCAGTTGGTCGCAGAACGGGCACGCATCCCCCCTTCTTTCGCTCCTGGTACTCACATGATCCCCAGTTGCAAGTGAATCTCTAGCAAACCTCCACATAAAGTGCTTAACTTTCGGAGGCACTGTCATTCCCCACACCGTCTTCCACATTGTTGGGTCCCCCGTTGATGCCATTCTTCTTTCAGCTTGTACATCCTTTAACCATCTCCTATAGCCATCCCGGGCTGTGTATTCTCCATCTCTACTGTCCGCCAAGCTTTTCTTGTTTGAGTGATCCGCACAAAGGAATCAGGGTAATGGCTTCCGCCATTGTTGTTGGGAAACAACTTTCAATAAGAACCCTATCCCATTGTTCGGACTCCTCGTCAATCAGCTCACGCACTACCGAATCAACTGGATGGCCATAGTCGAAAACCGTGAGAACTTCGAAGTTGAACGTGCTCAGTGTGGAGTACAATCAGGATGAGTGACCTTATGGGAAGTCACATTGAATTGCATCCCAAGCGAAAACCGTGAGGGTCGAGGCCCAAAGCAGAGAATATCTTCGTCGGGAAGAGGTTCGGGATGTTACAAGTGGTATCATAGCCTCTTCGCGTTCCTCTTGAATGATGTGGGGCAAACCTCAACAAGGGAGTTGAGTCGCAGGGGGTGTATGTAACACCTTAGGCAAATCCCACATCGACAAAGCACGGGAGAGATCCATGGTTCATAAGTAAGAAACCAACCTTAACCGACAAGACGCGTTTTGGGGTGTAATGGAGGAGTTCTTGTGAGAACTCTGAAGTTAAACGTGCTCAGTGTGGAGTACAACAAGGATGGGTGACCTTATGGGAAGTCAACCTTGAATTTCACCCCAAGTCGAAAACCGTGGGGGTCGAGCCTCAAAGCGGACACTATATTCGTCAGGAAGAGGTTCGGAATGTTACAAGTGGTATCAGAGCCTCTCCGCGTCCCTCTTGAACGATGTTGGGGCAAATCTCAACGAGGGAGTTGAATACCAAAGGGGGGGGGGTATGTAACACCTTAGGCAAATCTCACATCGACAAAGCACGGAAGAGATCCATGGTTCATAAGTAAGAAACCGACATTAACTGACAAGACGCGTTTCAGGGTGGGATGGAGTTCTTGTGAGAACTCTGAAGTTAAACGTGCTCAGTGTGGAGTACAACAAGGATGGGTGACCTTATGGGAAGTCACATTGAATTGCACCCCAAGTCGAAAACTGTGAGGGTCGAGGCCCAAAGCGGAGAATATCTTCGTCGGGAAGAGGTTCGGGATGTTACAATGATGTTATGTCATAAGAGGTTTGTCATTGAATTGTATTAATAAATAAATAAAAATTTACTTTGGCACCTCAACAATAAGGATGACAATGGGTTCGGGTGGGGTGTTAGTTTCATATATAACATCCCAAACCACGGTTTTAAAATCATAACTATCCTCGTTACCAAAGCTGTACGGGAATGTCGTGGCATACCAAAACCAACGAGTACTCAATTCAGGAAAATCCACCCTCATCATAACCCAACATTCATATACAAAGTTATTGATATAACCTAAATTTTTTCTTAGAAATTCAATGTTAATTGAGTTTGTTTGTCACGTAGTTTGTAAAACAAATAGAAAATCAACAAGATTGATGACTAAGTGATAATTAAAATATTTGAGGGCTGTAGATGACCAAAATGTTAAAGTGAGGTCATCTAAAACATAGATATAACACATATTTCGAAGGTTGGGTGTTAAAATACCAAAATTGCACCAAACTCATTAGCTTCCTGTTGGATTCAAGGAAAATCCACACAAAAATGATACTTGTTGCTTTTTCCCTAATTAAATTTTTTGAATTCAGCTTGATACCCATGATGATGGGTTATTTTGTTATCCCTACTCAACAACCCATCCTCCATATGAGCGTTACATTTGCTACTTTAGCGTGAAGTAACATGATTTTGGCAAGTTTTTTGGAGTGAAAATGATCTTCCATTAATAACGACACCTCAAAATAAAGTTCTTAACATACAAACTCATCACCACATTCAGTTTTATTTTGAGGTAATTGGATCAAATTGCTTAATATAAAATATATAGATGATAAACTGAATGAGATAATTAGATCCAATTACCTCAAAATAAAGCAATTGGATCAAATTGTCTCGTTTGACAACACTGAACAGGAATACAACAATTGGGCTAAGATAATTTGAATGACTTCATTTTGCATAAATTTGAATTGGGAGGGGGAGGGACAAGAGTATTTTGAAATGATGCTTCAATTTTGAGATGAGGTAATTTCGAGTAAATTGTCTCACTTTTAAAATATATAATCCAAACAACCCCAATATGGATTTGGATATTTGTTGGGTGGACTTTAGTAAGGTATACCTATTGCTTCTGTATTCTAATTGGATATGTGTTGCGTAAGAGATTACTATTTTCTTAAGATAGTTTAAGCTTTACGTAAAAAGTCATACAATTTTAGAAATCAAGATATTAAATTGTAAGAATAATTTATTAGGTACTATAACATAAATTTCAGCAATTTTTTATTATTTAAGAAACAAAGTCTAGATATCAAATGGTATTCATTAACCAACGGTAATTCAAAAATTCTAAACCAAGGTATAAGTATGAAACTCTACTCTTTCATGTTTTTCTTTTTACCTAAGGGTGGTATATATTTGGTTTAAGTAATTCGAAGGTGAGAGCTCCATATTCATAACTAGTGGTATCACGATTGGATTACCACTAAATGGAGCGATTGGTGGAGCATCTAATTGCCAGGTAGGATGATGATTTTAATAGGAAAGTAAAACGGGTTGTCGTTTCCCGGGGTTTGGATATGTTCTAATTTCCCTGTTCGTTTGTTTGGCAGTCTTATTTTAGGGCCCGTTAAGTATAGTTTTGTTGTTGTTGTGGTTGTAGTATGGTTGTGTAACACAAGAGAAACCACAACAACATAAAAATAGAAAACAAAAACATGTTTAGTTGGTAATTATGACATATCATAGAAATCGACAACAAAAAACAGAAACGTGTTTAGTTCTTTGTAACGAAAAATCATAAGAACATTTCTCAATATACAACAAAGGAAACATGGATTGAGCTGTTGAGCAGGGGAGGGGAGTTCGCGACGGCGGCTGTTGAGCAGGGGAGGGGAGGTCGCGGCGGCGACGGGCGGAGGACGGAGGCGGCCGGTCGGGAGGCGCGGAGGCGGAGGGTCAGGAGGTCGGAGGTGGCCGGCGTGGAGTGGGAAGAAGGCGCCGGCGTGTATGGCTGGAGGGGAGAGCGGCGCCTGTGTTTGAGACAAAATTGGAGAGGTTGGGATTCGAAAACAGGTCTGTTTTAATGAAATCAAGCGCCCAACCAGTAGGAATCTCGTGTGCAACATGTTTAACAATCAGATCCAAAGCTATAAATTATTGTTTCTCATATTTGGGCCTTGTTGTGCAACTCTGATTCACAACAAAAAATAAAAACCCAACTAAACACGATTTTTTTTTTTGGTTTTCCAAATTTCTTAAAACACAAAGACCAAAGAGCCAACAGGACCCCGGCGCGCATTCAAACTAGAGCTGACACGTGTGTCATTTTCCCTCCTCCGTAAATGAGCTCGCCTTTTTCTCTTTTTACTTCAAGGTTTTGTTACTGTTTGTTTGTTTATCACTCCAAAATCTACTGATGAAACAAAAAAAAAAGCAGAAAAAATCTGGCCTCGTCCTTTTCTGGCCAAAAAAAGGAAAGCAAGCAAAAGAGCGAACAGGAGGGCGAGCTTGAGCGATTAGGGTAGGGCGAGAGAAGAGAATCACAAAAGAACGGGGAGGAAAAAAGTGGAGATGAAGGGAATCGAGAGCAAGAGCAGCCGACAAGTGACCTTCTCAAAGCGGCGGAGCGGATTGATCAAAAAGGCTCGCGAGATCTCCATCCTCATTCCTCTGCGACGTCCAAGTAGCTCTCGTCGTCTTCTCCGCCCGCGGCCGCCTCTACGACTTCTCCGCCGGCGCCGGCAGGTACATCTATACATAATATTGTACCACAGTACCAGGATAATGGCCATTTATTCTTTCACTTTCGCTTGTTTTTGCATCTTGCTAGATGGAATTTTGTGGATTCGTCTTCCGTCCTTGTGAATTTGGCCGATTAGCGAAGAATAATGTTTCTGTGTTAACTATTATGACGGCGAGCCAGCTAGCTGTAGTTGCTACGCTTCCCGCGCGGTCTTTAGCACAATGCCCACCATCTGTATGATAAAATATCGCAGAGGCTGGCTTCTGTGTCTTATGCTCAAGTTTGCGGTGGGACACGTGCTCCCCTGCTCTAAAACCCACCTTGGCGGTGATGGGTGGAAAGTTTTGATGCATTTTGGTGTCATTATCACCGCTTTACCATAAACAAAACTCTTATAGCCTGTTTGGATACAATTCCGGAAGAAATGGAAATGGAAATGGAAATGGAAATGGAAATGGAATTCAATTTTTTATTTTTATAGAATTCCATTTCCAATTCTAGTGTTTGGTATAATTCCTACAACTATGGAAATGAATTGCACTTTTAACCATAATGAATAATGTAATATGTTTGTTTTATTTTGGGAAATGAAATATGAATGAGAGAGAAAGAGAGTAAAATGATAGTGGGTCAACAAAATAATAAAAAGTATTGATGGGTCCCACTAATTCCATCTTCATTCTCTCAATTCCTATCACTTTTGATAGGAATTGTAATTCCCATATTTTAGACCCATTGGAATTCAATTCTCAACCTTTTTATTATTCCAAACATAATATATGGAAATGGAATTGGAAATGAAATTCCAATTCCTTACTTTTTTGTCAATCCAAACAGGCTGTTATGGCTGGCTTTGTTAGCAACGTACAATTCGATTATGAAGTAATAATGCGGTAATATATAATAATGCTTATTGCTTGTTGAAAGAACTCACCAAGTTTATCGAAACAAGATTGTACCGTCCTTTAACCAAAGGGTGACAGAAAGGTCACTAGTTGAGAAAATCGTGACGAACTGAACGTGCAATTTTCTGCATGCTCATATATATGGTTTGAAGGAAATTGTTGTCGTCGAGAAATTCTTAGATAGATCATGAGCTGTCAGCTCAAACATAGAATGTCAATTGAATTTTTGGTCCATAACGAATAGAGAGGATAGGGATAGGAAGAGGAGACTCTAGTTACACGCTTGATAGGAAGCATATGCATTAAAGTATGGAGGAAATGTATGGAGACTTGGAGGAGTTCAAAAGTTGGTTAATTACATCCTTGTTGTTCTTTTTGGTGGAACACACATCTCTACATCTACACCATATATAATAGCACAAAGGGGAAAATTGTTGCTCCATTCCAAATTTTCTGCAACGAGAGTGAAAGTAGGAAGGATATTTTGGTCTTCACAATTATTATTTTTTATTTATTAAAAAGACACGTACTGGATTCGAACCATGACCACTTTAAAGAAAAACAAGAATCATAACCAATAATACTAAATACATTTGTTGTATCTTTTTAAATTAAAAACATATAATAGCGGGAGGAAAAAACCCTTCCCCCATTTCAAATTCCCTACTCCAGGGAGCGTTTGTAGTTTGTAGGAAGGGTAGAATAGAGAGTGTCAATTTTTTTTCTCTTTCCTTTGTGGAACAGACCAACTTATCATACACATGCGGATTTAAACGGGTCCAGGAGTGTCAATTTTTTTTCTTTAAGCCCTTTTATATCTCCGTGGTGGTAAATATATATGAAAGGGCAAAAACAATACTCCTTTTTATTGCTAAAAATAAAAAAATTAACAATAAACTAATCCATGGATTATAATGGGCTAACCGCTAACCATAAAATAAAAGAGTTGAATGGGCCTGACCTACATGAGATTTGGCCATCAAGTAAAACAAATGAACATTATGAGTTTGTCATTCTAAAACAAGCTATTTATCCTAGCATAATATATATTATTCTATTATTTTATATCTTAGTGGCTAAAATATAATGTATTTTAAAGTTATTCAATGGTTCAACCTAGACCAACCTAATTAGTCCAATTTTTATCATAATGATTAAATTATAGTGTATTTTATAGGGAATCGTTTGGTATTTGTTAGTAAAAAACTAAACAGAAAGATATATTTGGTTATTTTTAACATTAAAAAGATCCTAAACATTTTCAGTTTCATTTCGAATTTCTATGGTCTTATTCCCTAATCAGTGATGTGCAAATAACAAATTGCAATCATCTATTTCTTTCACTATTTTTTATTTTAAAATAGAAAGTTTAAAAGTAAAGAATAATTAGAGTTTGGCATGGGTCGGTCAAACAGGCTGAATATCAAGTTTTGGTCCGTTTTCATAAAGTCTAATTTATAATCACATGGTTCCCTGATACTCGATAAAAATCTCAATCCAAACCAGTTTGGCAGGTGAGTCCATGTTTACCACCATTTTCTAGGGATACAGGAACGACGGTTCCTATCCCAAATCGTGTTGTTCGTTCTTTATTTCTTTAGATTTTATCATTGTCTAGCAAAAATCAAAAAGAACAATGACGACAAGATGAAAGTTTTATAAAGCAAATTTATTGGCCAACGGGCCGAATAAAAGCTAGCAACGATTGTGAGATGGTCATTTCCCGAAAACCGACGGGATAACCGATTTTTAAATTGATTTCCTGGAATTTGGTTTCTATAAAAGTTACTCCACTTCATCATATTACCATAAACAATATTGTTTCACAAGGTAACAGGTACTTGATTTTAGTTCGTAAGGCTGATTTTTGATTCGTTGCATCATTCATGTCTTTATCCTGCTAAAATTCACTATTTTTATCACATATTTTTTAAAAAAAAACTATACAACAATAAACTATACACCGCATTACATTATCAAATGTCATACCTCACTTTTCTCCGGTGAACTGGCCGGGGCTATGCTAGTAGAATATTAGCGGCCATATTTTCAGTCACCCATCAAAACATGTCCAAAGTGGTGGATGAGTGTAGGTGTATATTCAACAAGGTCCAAGAAGTGTTGGACGAAATCAGCGTTGCGATTGCACAATCAGTGTTGCTAAAAACAGAAAATGAAAAGAATAAGGAAGGTATCGGCTCAGCCAAAATCCATTTCGAATCTCCTTACCTTATGAAGAAGTGCAGCAACGATCAAAAGCTTTATTTATATATATATATGGTTCAGGCTAGCGTACATCAGGTGTATACTATACACCTACGTTCACATTCATTAATTAATACTTATTATAATTAAATTAATTATTACTAACCATAGTAATTAAAATAAGATCCACTACTTTATTTTGTATACAATATTGTCCCACAAACCTTCCTACTTTCTTTATTTAGCATCGGCAAATCGGATCCTCTAATGTCGCTCTTCCCCATGGCAACGCAATGGAAGGAAACCTTGAAAACGAAAGATCCGAAGGTTGGTGTTATGGTCTTTCAATAAACAGATTAGTCTTCTTAGTCTTGTATAATGTTTCAATCTTCTCGACGACGAAATCGTTGCGGAGCATAGCCCTATAGCTCTCGATGATGGTGTTGTAGAAGACGTCGACCCGATTGAGGCGGCGTGTATCTGATGAATCTCATTTGTGGACACCATCATGTGTTTTAGCCTCTCCTTATCGGTCGTTTTCGAGCAGAGTCGATAGTTTGGTTCAGGTTATACGGAGCTCAATCAGGAAGTAGTAACGGATCAACCTTCTCTTTGGATTCCTGCCGGTGAAGTGAGGAAGAAGATTGTGTTTTACTAACCCACACAATTGAATATTTGTCAATAATACAAAGATATCCATTATAGTCTTGCAATAAATGAATTAGATTACTGGAATGATTCACCCTTCTCGATGCCGCCATCACTGGGATGTGCCGGCTGGAGTTGTCGTCGTTGTTGCCGATGAGGGTGGTAGAGGCGACGCAGGTATTTCTAAGAGGTGGGGGAGCGTGCCATCATTTTGTGGGGTTGATGATGCAATTAAGAGTGAGTTGTGATTAAATGATGAACAATTGCATGAAAATGGACTGGTGATTGGTTGTATTTGATTCCACGGTGATGCAGTGTTAAAGTTTTATTATGAACGTGGGCTGGAGTAAATCCCCCTAGCTTAAACATTGTGGGATTAAACCGTAAACAAAAATTAATTAATGGGCATGGTTGTAATTATAATTGTTATTAATAATTAATTGTTAGGTGTGAACACAGATGTATAGCGTACACCAGGCGTATGCTAGCCTTTGCCATATATATATATATATATATATATATATATATATATATATATATATATATATATATATATATATATGGTGCCTTCTACGGTACCCTGGGTGAAATCCGGGGTACTGCATACCTTGAGTATGAAAACGCTATTTAGACCTCGAATTAGCACGATTTTTGGGCATGATACTATACCCTAATCCTTAATGAGTGAACCCTAGGTCCTAATTATCTAAATCATAAACTAAAAACCCTAAGATGATGCATTGATTTTTTTGCCTATATTTGGACGAATCATAACCGTCGATTATTGTTTCAAATTAAATTGATCTTGGGGTATAAGATTTAGAGAACTAAGACCTAGATTTTGATCTTTAAGGGTTAGAGTATAGTATCATATCCGAAAGATCAGTCAATTCAAGTCCTGGATAGCGTTTTCTTACTCAAGGTATGCGGTACCCGGAATTTCACCCTGGGTACCGTAGAACTCCCCATATATATATATATATATATATGGTTCAGACTCGTGTGCTCCAGACACATAGTATGCTCCAGGTTTTACACACCGTTGATCTAATCTGACGGTCATTATAAATTATGATAAAATTATTTACAAAATACAAATTAAAGATAATTGATCGGTTCCCTTACATTTTCATTCGTCCTCTTTAGTCCCCCAACTAATTATTCATTTACTTTCATATTCTGATACCTATTTTCTTCTATTGATAATTTAAACATCCCAAATTGGATGCTTTAACTTAAACATCCCCGTTCACATTTTCCCTTCATCGAGATTCTCAAACCCTCTCCTCTCTCCCGTTTTCATGTGCTCTATCTACCTCACTAATCCATCTTCTCCCGTTCCTCCCTCCCACCACAACCCTTAT